CACAGAATTTGTCATGGGATCTTCCCAGCCTTGCTGGAGGGCCACGGTCCACCTGAGTCTCACACGTGGGAAACAGTGAAGTTGCTTGTCCCAGTGAGGAAATAGGGCCGGAGCCAAAGTTGGGGCTGTCTGCTGCGGAGTGCATTTGCTGATCATTAGACAGCACTGCCTGTGTAGGCAGCTGCTCAGTGACTCAGGTTGTTTGTAGTGGTGGTGGGGAGTGTGGGGCAGAGGCAGGCAGCAGAGGACCAGGTGAGGGGCCAGCACCTGGCGATGGGAGAGAAAGGAGGGCCCCAAGTTTGCCCCCTCTCTGGCCACCCTGGGCCCCTGGGCAAAGAGTGACTACCTCATTTAAGAGCTGACAGAGCCGAGACTTTGGGCCAGGGGGTCTGCTGAACCACTCCTCAGATGCTTGCTGGGTGACTTGGGGCACACCATAGGGACAGACGGCTGCTCATAGAACCAGCAGTGAATGGGCCCAGCCACTTCCTTGTGACCCTGTGGTCATTCACTGCAGTTTCCTGGGCTAAGGTGCTGGGCTGCGGTCTCGGCATTTGTCCAACCACTTACCCCAGGAGGGCAGTGGAGGACTTAATCAATTGCTGAAAATCAAAAGGAATCTGGCCGCTCGCCAGATGGGGAACTGAGCAGCCGGGCTGTTCACAGCCTTGGAGGCTGCAGAGTGGACGGCGGCCTGCACTGTGACCCGGCTGCCTACGCAGCCCTGGGCCTGGGAGGTGGCTGAAGCTGGCTGTGCTTCCTGTGGGGGCAGCGGAAGACCCTGGATCTGGGGGCAGAGCAGGGCAGGCGTCAGGGAGATGGAGAGGGACTGGTTCTCAGCCATCTCCAGGGCTCAGCTTTCCCTCATGAAAAGAAGTGGGGAGGGCAGAATTGTACCAGGGTGGTGCCAGCTGTGCAGGAGCGTCTGGAGAGGCCCAGGACTTCTTGGGGCAGTCTGTGACCTGGGGATTGCAGTTGTTTCCCTGTGGGAGGGTTGTGATGCCCACTGTGGCTGCTGGGATAGTCAGAGCCTTGCCACGGGGTGCCAGGAGGCCTGGGGCACCCTGCCTTCTCTTCTGTGTTGATTTGGTCAGGACACACCCTGGGATGGGTTGTCATTTTGCTTGTGAAAAAACCCCCTCTCCCACATCGGGGCATGGAGGGGATTACGGCAATAGTCTTCTAGTTCCAACATGCCAGGTGGCCTGCCAGCAAGGTCTCCTCCCCCTGGGCTTGGGCAGAGGCCACAGAGTCCACTTTCTAGGGCTGCAAGTAGGTTCTTTCGCCCCGTCCTTCCTCCTGTTCTTCCCTCCAATACACTGAGACCCTGGAAGCCAAGAAGCTTCCATCCCCAGCCTGGCACGGTGACCCGAGGGGCAGCAGGGGTCACATCACCTCCCTGCCTGGACCCAGAGCCTTCAAGGCTGAACCCATGCCCCACTACCCATCTCCCAGCTTGAAAGCCTCATTCATTTTCCTGTTATAAATAAAATATATGTTTACTGTAGAAAGGAAAAAATCGTAGTAACGAAGAAAATTTAAATAACCTGTAATTTCTCTATGCAGAGACAGGTGCTCTGAATGTGTCCATGCTTCTTTCTCAAATCTACTTTACACGATTCGTGCCCTTTATACATACTGGTCCATCTGATTCTCTCCCCATGGTATTGTTTTTCAGAATTTTCTACATCAGTTCTCTGGTGCCTGGTATTCCTGTGTAACAATGTGTAACCATGAATGCCCTCATTTAAAATGGATATTTCTCTCTCCTTTCTCTCCTTTCCTTCTCCTCCTCCTTCCTCTTCCTTTTAAGTGTATGTTGTAATCTAGGCTGTTCACAGGTTCTTTTATTCTGGCCTTTTGATTAGCAGACATTAGTGTTCAGAGGGTTTCATGTGACATTTTCGTACATGCTTGCGATGCACCCTGGTTAGCTTCAGTTCTGTTGTTCTCCCTCACCCTCACAAGTTCTTTTCCTTGGCTCTGGGTCTTTGGTGTGGTGCCGTGTGTGTGGGTCTGTGTGCATGGCTAGCCTCCCTGCTTCAGCGGTGTTCTCTGAGGGGAGGTGACAGAGCAGAGGGTTCCAGGTTGCTGCCCAGGCAGCAGGTTCTGGTCTCCTGCATAACTTGAAGCCAGGCTGCACCGCACTGGGAATAAAACAAACCTTTCTTTCTGTGCAGTGACAGTCGGCACCTCACTGTTTGTGTGTTACTGAGAAGTTACCCATTTTCTATGTTTATTTATTTTTTATCATCGTTATTTGGCGGTACTGGGGTTTGAACTCAGGGCCTCACACTTGCTAGGTGGGCCCTCTACCACTTGAGCCTCACCCTCAGCCTTTCCATTGTTTGTTGACTACTTTTCTTTTCTTTCTTTGTGTTGAGATCCTCTTGCCTCAGCCTCCCAGGTGCTGTGATGACAGGTGCACCTTTGTGTTCAGCTTGTGTTTTTCTTCTGTTGACCTGTTCATGGTCTTTGCCTTTCATTGCTGAATTTAGGGTGTTTTTTTATTGATGCGATGGATGCCTGTTAATTAACTTTAAAAAAAATTAACAGGCTTCAAGGTTTGCGCCCCTGAAGCCAGCCTCGCCCTCCCTTCCCCCACAGTGTCACCTACTTTCTGACATGCGGGTCCCACATCCTTCTTGTACAAGGGTTAGAGCTCCACTGCCACACTGGCCGTGTGCACTCTGGTCCTTGATGGGAAGAGTTTGCGTGCTCCTTTAGAGAAGCCGAGGGGAGGATAGCAGTCATCCGTGGGTGACCACTGTGGACCTCTGAGCACATTCCCTTCTGAGCTTTTGTCAGAGTGGCCGTCTGTCTTTGTGGTTGGAATCCTGCTGCGTGCACTGGGCATGCTGTTGACATGAGGCCTCCTTGGGGACAGGAGGGGATTGGAGCTGCCCAGAGTCCTATGCACAGAGCATCCTTATCTAAGAGCTGTGGCCCATGGGACAGCTCGTGCTCCATGGTAAGCACTCTAGCCTCCAAGCTCAGGTCACTCACAACCCATCTCTTGCCACCTGAGCTGCAGAGTAGCTCCAGTCATCACTGGCAGCTGTGCCACTGTCTAGTTACCCCTTCCACCAGAGATCCCCCCCTGCTTGTCTCGAAGCTTCCCTCCTGTCCTCGAAGGTCCCAGGTGGGATTATGCTCCTCAGATTGGTCTGTGGAAGTCCCGAGCCCAGCCCTTGAGCGTGACCTAGTTTGGAAACAGGGTCTCTGCAGATGTAACAAGTGAAGCTGAGGCACACTGCAGTAGGGTGGGTCCTAAGTCCCTAATATTGGTGACCTTGTAAGATGAGAGACAGAGACACATAGGGGAGGGCTGTTTGAAGCTGGAGACAGAGATTGGAGTGATGTGGCCACAAGTCAAGGAATGCAAGTATTTCTGGCCACACCAGGACTGCAGGAGGCAGGAAGGGGGGTCCTTTCCTAGAGCCTTCAGAGGGAGCTCGTCCCTGCCACACTTTGACCTTTGACTTGTGGGTTCCACATGTATGAGGGGATAAATTACTGTTGCTAAAAGCCACCTGGTTTTGGGTGACATGCTGCAAGTAGCCCCCTCCATGTTCCATTGTGTCTGTGAGATTGTGGGTGAGGTCAGCTGACCAGGATGGAGGGTGTTGAGCTAGACGTGTACGTGACATTGGGTCATCCCTCAGAACAGCTTTTGAGTTTTGAAGAGGATTCCCCTGCCAGGAAAGCTATCCCTTAGCCTGCCCTGTGCCTTGCACTCAGCTGCCCACTTGTGCTGCCAGAGGAGGAGTGGTCAGGAGCTATCTGAAGAAGCTCTAGGGACATCGCTTGGTGGGGAGTAGGGACTAGGGGGAGGTTTTACTTTCTTTGGCAATGCTGTGGGGCTATGAGGCAGGCTGTTTGTAGAGATAACCCCAAAGGAAACTGTTTAACCAAACTGTTTAAACAAACTCTTGCCCAGGATCTGCCTGGTCCCAGGGAGGAGGATGGCCTTTCCTCTTTGTGGCCAGCACTGTCCCCTGCATTCACCATGCTGACCACCCTCCCTCACCCCTAGCCTGCAGGCCCACAGCCAGGGCTGCTGTGAGGACCTTGCTACAAAAGACCCTACTCGAAGGCCAGCCCTGGTACAGCCTTAGCCAGCGTCTGGTGATTTCTCTGCAGCTGTTCCCTGCTGGCTTGGCCCTGGACAGAGTCCCCCCCACTGCTGGTCCGGGATGCCTCTGTGCAGGGCACAGTTCCTCAGATCTTCAGGCAGGCAGACTGGGCTGTGGCCTTCTTCCAAGTGTCCTGGTCTCTGTGTTTTTCTTGGCAAAAGTCAAAAACCTCAAAGGCCTTGCAGCCTGAGGGCATCAGAGACCCTCTGGGGAGTGAGTTGAAATCTGCAGGTTTGTCCCAGCAGTGACTTACTGCTGGCTGCGGCCCCGAAGACTTCTTTCTGGCTCATTCTGAGGATGCTAGAGTGGGGTGGCATGTGTGTGAGGTTCTGTGCTGACCTGATTAGCAGAGGGCTGGCTCTGGGCCGCTGTGCTCAGCTCTGATGGCTCTGGCCCCTTAGGGACACTGCCGGGATCTGTCACATGAAGCTCTTGAGCCAGACAGCAGACCCCCAGCCCCAGCAGGTCCTTTTTGCCTGCCCTGTCCCCCAGCTGTCCTTCACAGCTCCAGCTAGTTTGTGATCATATATCACTTTATGGCCTCTGCCTTGTCACCCTGGGGGCATCAGGGTCAGGACCTGCAAACATTTTGCCCATCCCTCCGTTCCCCTCAGCCAGTCTGATATTGGATGATGATCCATCCAGCCAGGTAGCAAATAAAGAATGCATGTGCTTCCTGCCTGTGCCTAGTCTACAGATAAGTCAAAGTGTTCAAAGGACCTCATTTTCTCACCTGCTGCTGTGTGTCCTTGGGCTGAGAGCTTGACCTCTCTTTGGTCCACATTGCTCTTTAGTACAATGGAGCACAGTCATACCTGGTGTTAAGATTGTTATTTTTGGTGATTGTGCTAGGAGGATAGTGGGAATGGAGATGGCAAAACAGGCTCAACTGTTGTGGGACCAAGAGTGGGTTTCTATTGGGGAGGGGGCGAGCATTTCCTTTGGAGTTTGAGGAAAACACTGCTTTGAGGCCAGGCAGGGGGTGACACACTGCCCCATCCTGGGCGCAGGACTGTATTGCCTCTTTGGACAGCTACTTGTGGCATTGGTTTATGGTCCCCTTGATGTCAGAACAGGGACTTGGGTACCATCCAGTCCAGCTGATTCTTCACTACAGATGGGAAAACAGGCCCAGAGAGAACCAGAGCCTCACACAGCATGGCAAGGTCAAGAGACCTCTTTCTTGAGTCCTATCTATCCCGTTTGCTGCCTTTCATTGGTCAGGTTTGACATCTGTCCTGGGCACAGTATTGTGCAAAAGGGCAGGTGCCAGTGTCCCTGTGAACCTAGGGAACAGTGCTTGGGGTGGAGGGCAGGGTCACCTCACCCACTGAGGCCTGGGAGGCAGGTCCAGGTTCCCAGAAGAGGAGGAAACGGCCTGTAACCTGGGCCTTGAAGGACAGGTCAGATGTCAACAGCATTTTGGAATGGGGCCCAGAGGAGAAAGTGTTGAAACTCAGGTTCCCCTCCCCCGCCAGCAGAACACCAATCAGAACTTCAGGAACACCGTTCACTGAGCTGGAACTGGGGTGTCTCTGAGATGTCTGCTGCACACTGAACACCTTCCCAGTACTGCTGTTGCCTCAGTTTCCAACCAGGGCTCCCAGTGTTGCTGTCACATGTGCGCCCTCTCGTGGGGGAATCTCATTATGAACTTGAGCTGGTGTCTGGATGGCCCCTGGCCTTACTTGAGGTACAGGGCTCTGTGACCCCAGAACAGCTCTTCAGATCCTGGGTTTCCTTGTGGAGCAAGCCAACATGGGGTGCAGGGGGCTGTCTGCACCACAGGACCGGGCAGTTGGCCTAGGGGCCAGGGTGTGAAGGAGGCTCCAGTCCCTTCTGTCTCTGATCCTGGAGCTGCTTTGTGACCTCAGGCAACTGGCCTCAGAATGCCAGAAGTGGTCTCTGGCCCTGACACTTTTGGTTCTGTGGGTCCTTGAGAACCAGAAAGGGCTGGAACAAATGAGTAGGCCGTGCAGGAGGGAGCTACGTCGTGACCCAGCGGCCTCAGGGGGCATCTGTGTCAGGGTTGGGAGCAATGTCCGGGGTCCCTGAGGCTCCATGCACTGGAAGTTCTGATAAATCCCACCACAGAGGGCCTGGGACAGGATCAGAAATGCCCGTGGGGTGCTGCTGTATGCAGGACCTGCTGTCCCTTCTCTGGGCCTGCACCCCAGTTTGGCTCTTAAGGTATACCTTTCAGCTCAGGCTGTGGAGGTTGGGAGCATATGAGGAGCAAGCCGCAGGGGTTCTGAAGAGACTTGTGATTGCTTGGCCCCCAAAGTGAGTCACAGAGATCTGAGCACTCTGCAACCAGGGGGTGTGGTGATACGGATCCTGGGGGGCTGTAGGACCTTAGGCCTGGAATTCACCACCTACTGAAGCAGAGCTGCAGGACGATCACAGCTGATCTCCCCAAGACTCCACTAACCCCAAAGCTCTCTGTGCAGAGACCCCAGGCCTCGGGAGTGGCCACAGCAGTCAGGGAGGCCTGGGCCTCACTTCTCCTGCTCTGGTTTTGTGTCCTCAGGCTCTGGTGATGACTTTTGGGGCTCTCACACACATCTTGGGGCCAGCACATCCTGCCTTCAGCTAGGAGGGGTTCTGTCCTCCCTGTGTGCTTGGCTTGTGCCTCACCTGCCTGTAGGGACATCCTGGGGGTGGCCAGGCTCTCCCCTTGTTCACTGGGTGCCACTCTGAGCAGTGTCCACCCATAAGGCAAAAAGGCTAATTCTCAAAGCTGCCTAGCTTATTGGACTCGGCCTCAGGGTACAGTGGAGACCCAGGTGACCGTGGGCTGGGGACTTTATGGTGTGATTCTGAAATGCAGTGGAAATGTGTAGACAGGGCCTCACCTGATCCATCTGTAACACCTGTTCAGAAACTAGGTCCGAGTTGCTAGGGTTGTCACTGTGTTCTGGTGGCCTGTTCTCAAGGCCCTACCCCGCTGGATCCTGGCCACAGTCAGAGACCTTGTCTAGCCCTGGCTCAAGTCAGAACACGGTGTCCCTGAGATGTTTCCTGTCTCTGTCTCAGGCACCTGCTGTGAAGTGGCCCTCAATTCTGTGTTAGTACTTGGTAGAACTGAGCGGGCCCACAGATCTGAGAGCCTCAGAGCTGGGCCCCTGAACATATGTGGGGTGAATAGTTGACAGGTATTGCAGCCCTGCCCACGAGCAAGAATGGGGCACCTGCCCGGATGCAGCCTTGGGGCCTGATGCTGTCTCGCAAGTGGGTGGGGAGGACAAGGGCGTCAGTGGAGCCAGGGAGGGTGAGGTGGGGCCCTCTGGGGCCTTTGGGAAGTGGAACTGCTAGTAGGGGTCTGAGCCCAATGTCCTAGCCCGTGTGTGGTCAGGATAGAGGCTGGCAGAGGACAAGGGGCCTGACTGAGGCAGCCCTCACACACTGAGTAAAGCCAGATAGCTCAGCCAGTGTGGCATTCAGCTGGTTGCCTAACCTCTCTGTGCGTCAATATATTTTTTTTTTCTTTTGTTGGCTGGGCCTCACACTTGCTGGACAAGTGTTCTACCTGAACCACACCCCAGCCCTTCAGCTTTCTCTTCTGTAAACTAGGGAAACAAAGAGTGCCAACCTCTCAGAAACCCTATGGCACTTGCTGTACAAGGAAATTCCTGCCACAGCTGCTGACCTCTGACCCCACTGCCCCGTATCTCCACAGGGGCTGAGGAGGTGCTGCTGTTGGCCCGGCGGACAGACCTGCGGAGGATTTCTCTGGACACACCAGACTTCACTGATATTGTGCTGCAGGTGGACGACATCCGGCATGCCATTGCCATCGACTATGACCCCCTAGAGGGGTATGTGTACTGGACAGATGACGAGGTGCGGGCTATCCGCAGGGCATACCTGGATGGGTCAGGGGCGCAGACACTGGTCAATACCGAGATCAACGACCCAGACGGCATCGCGGTGGACTGGGTGGCCCGCAACCTCTATTGGACCGACACAGGCACCGACCGCATTGAGGTGACACGCCTCAACGGCACCTCTCGCAAGATCCTCGTGTCTGAGGACCTGGACGAGCCCCGAGCCATCGTGCTGCACCCTGTGATGGGGTAAGGCGGGGGCTGAGGGTGGGCTTGGTGGCCAGGTGTGCGAGGTCGTTGGAGAGCACCTGAGACAGAAGGGGGCTGGGGTCAGGCAGTGTTGTCCCACAGCCTCACTGAGGCCATGGCCTGGGCATAGCTCAGGCTGGTTTTCTTGCCCTGAAACCTCTGCCCCTACCTCCCCCCAACCCCATGCAGTTGCCCTCTGCCTGTCCTTGGCCCCGGGAGCCCTGTAGCTATTTGTAGAAGCCCTCCTGCCTCTTTCCTCCTCCAGGGCTCTGATCTGCAGCCCACAGGTCAGGAGCCCCTGGGTCAGGTGTGAGGCTGCGCCAGGTCCTTGGGAGTGTGTCTCCTGTTGACTAGTCCATGGGCTGGTAGCTAGGCACCAGGGACACACGCTTGGTGGCCAGGGCCGGTCACCAGCACTTACCAAGCACTCAAGGGTGGGCCAACTGAGGAGGTGTGGCTCTTGGAACTGTCACTGTCACGAGCATTGCTTCTTCTCCAGCCTCATGTACTGGACAGACTGGGGAGAGAATCCCAAAATCGAGTGTGCCAACCTGGACGGGCGAGAGCGGCATGTCCTGGTGAACACGTCCCTCGGATGGCCCAACGGCCTGGCCCTGGACCTGCAGGAGGGCAAGCTGTACTGGGGGGACGCCAAGACAGACAAAATTGAGGTGAGTTGTGCCCGGGGTAGGGAACGTGGACTTAGGCCGAAGGCTGGCTCAAGGAGCTGCATGGAACAGATTCACTGTGTGGCCGAGTACTGTCTCCAGACCCCAGGCTTCACACAGAGGCCAGGCCTGGCCACCCCGTGGGCCCTTCATGTGTATGGGGTGTGGGTGGGATCTGTGGATGCCTGGCCCTGATGTTTGGCTAAATGGTGTCTTTGAAAATAATTTTTTAGGGTGTGGGGGTAATGGAGTTTGAACCCAGGGCATCGTGCATGCTAGGCAAGCACTCCACCCCTGAAGCCATGGCATCAGTTCTTTTGTTTTTGTGGGTTTTTTTTTGGCAGTTTTGGGGTTGGGACTCGGGGCCTCATGCTTGCTAGGAAGATGCTATACCACTTGAGCCACTCTACCAGCTCTTTTCTGTGTGGGGTAGTTTTGAGATAGGGTCTCTCAAACTATTTGTCTGGGCTGGCTTCAAACTGTGATCCTCCTGATCTCTGCCTTCTGAGTAGCTGGGATTACAGGTGTGAGCCACTGGTGCCTCCCCGTATTTTGTTTTTGAGGTAGGGTCTCGCTTAAGTTTGTCCTACCTGCCCTTGAACTTGAGATCTGTTTTTCTCTGCCTTGTGAGTAGCAGGGATTACAGGTGTGTATAGCACCACACCTGGCTAATCCAGAAAACAACTTCTGATGATTCATTCTGACATTCAGAGAGGCTGTGAGGAAGTCTATACTGAGTTAACACCACTGTATCCTGTGCTGTGGTCATGTGGTCTCTCTGCACTACTTTTGCTATTAACCTATTTCAAAACACAAAGTTGCAACAAAATTAAATAACAAATCCTCATGTATCTGCCATGCAGCTCCAGACATAAAACATTATCCACCTAGGCGAAGCCAGCGGTCACCACTGCCCTGAATTTGTTGGTTTGCTTGGGAGCAATTATAGACAGTTTGGGGCTTTTCATTCCTGAGCGGGTGTGCGGTCTTGTTCTGTATGGTTTGCGTGGTTTAATTAAGCCGCATCACCCTGGGTGCATTCTTGGGCAACTTGCATTCTGCCCACTGCAGAGCCTCCACCGGCTAATGTGCTGAGGCGCTCTCAGCGGTGATGACATGTCAGGTACATCTCTGACGTTGGTGCCCCTCCTCAGGCTGGTACCTCCCTCTGTTTCTGGTACCTTCTGGATAGTCACTCTGTTCGTATCACTGCTGTTGACATCACCATTGGGGTTACTCTCTTCTCAGGGCCCCTTGGGGGAGGCCTGAGCCAGGCAGGGCATGGGCAAGAGAGCAAGGTTGTGTGGCTGTGTCACAGGATTTCAGACCCTGCTTCTTGGTTGGAGCCCTAGTGCCATGAACGACAGTGACTTGGGGTGGGGGTGGATGCCCTTCCTGTGGAAATCCAAGGAGCTGTGTTCACACCATTTTCTGGTGGAGTCTTCTGTGAATGATCTTGGGACAGAGGGAGGAGGGAGGGAGGGAGGATGGGTGTGATGAAGGTAGGGAAGGATTTTGTTGCTAGAGAGAGTTTAAAGACTCCCATCTCCTGGGTGTGGGAGCAGAAGGCAAGGCCTTCCTTCTGGGGCAGCTGAGGATGCTTTGCCTTCCTTTCCCCACCTGCGTGTGGGAGCCAGTCAGGGAGGTGTGCATCAGAGACCTGCTGGGCCTATACGGGCATCGCTGTGGGCACTCCGCAGCAGTCTCTATTACCTCCTTCCAGAACACTTTGATCACCCTCAGTGCCAATGAGCACCTTTGTCAACCACAGATCTATTGTCTCTGTGGCTTTGCCTTTTCTGGACATTTTCTGTGGCTGGACTCCCACAATAGGGTGCCTTGTGGTCTGGCTTCTCTTAAGAGCAGATGTTTTCAAGGTTCCCCCATGCTGTACCATGCATTTGCATCAGCCATCAGCACCTTTTAAAATTTTTTGGCTGTACTGGGGTTTGAACTCAGGGCCTTGTGATTGCTACGCAGGTGCTCTACTGCTTGAGCCACACCTCCACTTTGCTTTATTTTTCTAGTAGAGTCTTGTGTTTTTTGTCCAGACTGGCCTGGACTGATCCTCCTTATTTATGCCTTCCTTGTAGATGTGCACTGCCGCTCCCAACTTCTATTGGTTGAGATGGGGGTTGTGCTAATTTTTGCCCAGACTGGCCTCAGACCACAATCCTTCCAGTCTCCACCTCCAAGTAATTAGGATGCAGGGGCGCGTCTCGCACCTGGCTCTCACCTCCTTTTCTGCTTTGGTCATATTCCAGTAGTGACGGACATGCTGTGTTTATGAACTCATCAGTTGATGAGCCCTTGGCTGCTTCTGCCTTTTGTCTCTTGTGAGCGACGCTGGCGGGAAGAGTTACGCACAAGTTTTCACATGAGCATCTCTTTCGTGCTTTTGGGGACACATCTAGCAGTGTAATCGCTGGGCCGTGCGGTGACTTTATGTTGACTACTGAGGAACCGTCCAGCTCTTTTCCACAGGGGCTCTACCATTTTATGCTCCCTACAGCAGCGTGTGAGGGTTCTGACTTCTCTTCCTCCTTACCAACACTTGTTCTCTTCTGCTTTTCAAAAACATTTTTATTGGTGGTGGAGATGGGAGGACCGTGGTTCCAGGCTAGCCCAAGCAAAAGAAGTCATCGAAGTCTTATCTTAGAAACCAAGTGGGAGGAGACTGGAAGGATTGCAGTTCGAGGCCAGCCCCGGCAAAAGTGTAAGACTGTCTGAAAAAGTAGCTAAAGCCAAAGGGGCTGGCAGAGTGGCTCAAGCGGTAGAGCACCTGCCTAGCAAGTTGTGAGGCCCTGGGTTCAAGCCCCAGTGCCACATCCCGGTGGGCGTGCAGGGGTATCACTAGTGACTTAGATTGTGTTTCCCTGATGGCTAATGACATTGAGGGTCTTGTCCTGAGATACTGAGGTTGGGCCAGTTACCTGTGCAGGTGGCACAGTGTCATGGACAAGGCCCCTCATGTGTCCCCATTCTTGAGATGAGGACCCTGTTAGGGTTTTCATAAGAAATGTCCCCCACAGGCTCATGTGCTGAATGCTGATGGCTCTATTTTGGGAGGTGATGGAACCTTTAGGAGGCAGGGCCTCGCTGGGGGAGGGGGCCACTGGGGACGTGCCTTGGAGGGTTAGAGACAACGAGTCCTCAGGTGTCTCTTCCTCCTTGTTCCCTGTCTGCCATGAGGTGAGCAGCTCCTCTGTTACCCATGGATGGCTGTTCCCCAGGTCTTTGGGTGCCACATCTAAGATGAAGACACTGCCCCCGGTGCAGCAAAAGAACTTCAAAGAGTAAGAAAATACCAAGGGACAATTCACTAGCAGAGTGAAAGTACGCCTGCAGACGTGAAGATAGCGGGCAAGGACCAACTGCCTTAAAGTGGTCAGGGCCTAGGCTTTTAAAAAGTTATCCAGTGCAGTGGGGTTACCAGGTGGTGTAAAACTGGTGAATAGTTTGTAAGAAGTCACACGCCTGTGCTCTTGAGGAGGTGAGGTCAGGCATCCACGCACGTGAGGCTCTTTGCCCCTCCTGGCATAATGCCACAAGTGAGAAGTTGTCTAGCAGTCATTGTGCCCCCCCAGGCTCATGCGTGGCCTTGACACGGGAAGTGTGCTTCATAAGGAGGGTCTAGGTCCAGGTGTGGGCTCTCCAGGGTTTATGATTCCATCTGTGAAGCAGGAATGGAACCTGGTGGCCAGAAGCACTCCCTTGTTCCTGGTCACGTCTCCCTAGCTGGCTGTGCTGACACCTCCTCCTCCACATGCTCCCACTGCCATGATGTTCTGCCTAAGCACGGGACCAAGCAACCATGGACTGGACCCTCGGAAGCCATGGGCCAGAGCAAACCTTTCCTCTCTTCAGTTGCTTGTTGCAGTATTTGGTATTTGTAAAGCTTACTGCCACAGAGAAGTGGTGCTGTTGCTGTGACTAAACCCGACTGTGTGGTTCTTAATCCTTTGGAACTGGATTTCAGGGACACTTTGAATAGTTTGGAGAAGGGGGCTAGAGAAAGCCCTGGAAGGCCATATACAGCACTTAATGACAATTCTGGTGGGAGCTCAGAAGGCCAGAGTACTGGTAGAATTGCAGACAGTAAAGACCGTACTCGTAGGGTTTCAGGTGGAAATCACTGTTGGCCATTCTGGTTACCTTTTGTCCAGGTTTTGTCTGTGTCCTGAGACTTTGAGTGATGAGTTCAATGGAGGAAATTTCATGACAGCAGAGCATTCCAGCTGTCACATGGTCACTGCTGGCTGCCTTCAGCAAAAAAGCCAGAGGAGAAAAGTTTGAAAAATGTCAGCTTGGCTGGTAAGGGAGTACATTTAAGGAGATGCAGATCAGGAGGGCATGGTTGTTGAGATGTCTCATACTTTGCGTTTGGACTATAGGAAGGATGCCTTGAGGGCATCCCGGAAATCAGCAGGACTCCACCCATCTCAGGCTCAGGAATTTGAAACTGTGAGTTCTTTTCTCAAAAGTTTTCTTTTCTTCAAGACTTTCCCTTGCGAAGAGAAAGTCTCGGGGCACCTTGCTCACACTGGGCCACCTAGGAAATTGTTTCCTCAGTGTTCCTCTCACCGTGCCCAAGTGATCAGAGACCAATGCAGCCATGGTCCAAGGGGCCCTGGGTGTGCCTCAAGCTGAAAACAGACCTTGCGTGTGATGCCTGATTCTGCAGGTATGCAAGTGCAAGATTAAGGGGTTGTGGAGGCTTCCATCCAGGTTTCAGAGGAAGTCCTGGGAGGCCAGGCGGTGTGTGGCAGGGTCAGTGTCCCCGCAGTCAGCCACTAAGAAGGCAATTTGTGCAGCCTAAGCTGCAGTGGAGACCCCAGAATGTTGGAGGTGCCAGGAATGTGGAACATCTGCTGAGGAAAGATGCAAGTCAGCCTCAGAGAGAGACCATGGTGCAAGGACAAAGGGGTGGGGCTGCCCAAGCCTGGTGGAACTCATATCATGCCACTGTGTGTCATGGATGCCAGACATGGAGCTATAGGATT